AGGGAAATCTCCCTAATGAGACACAGATGGGGAAAAAAATGTATATATGTGTACACACACACACACACACACACACACACACACACCTACACACCTCGAAAAATCCACTCGTCTGTGACGAGAGGACGGTGGAGCCCGACGAGCAGCTTCCCGGTCGGCCGTTGTAATTACACGGCCGGCCAGGAGCTTTACAGTCAAGAGATCGGGCGTCTCTAGAGACGCTCGATCGCTTGTATCAGCAGCTGTCACTGCCATTGCCGGTCTCGAGATCCGCTGTGCCCAATGCAGCCGGTGCCGGCACAGCTCTGTGACAGGAGATCAAAAGGGAGTTCAGTATACGAACTCTTTGATCTCCTCTCAGTCCCCGAATGCAGGAAGTGATGTATATTACATCACTTCCTGCATTCAGTGTCACTCTCCAGCTAGAGAAGCTGATGAAGCCGATCTTTGCTTCATCAGCTTCTCTGGGGGTCCCTAGGTGACATTAAGGGTCATAAAATAAAGAAGCATAAAAAAAAAGTTTTCTTTTTTAAAAAAGTTTAAGTCCCCGCCCCCCACATACACACAGATATGCGCCGGGTGCGCCTACGTGCGAAGACGATTGCACCTATTGTGACGCACATCTTACATATCGCCGCAAACGTCGGAGAGCAATGATTTAGAGCCATTAAGGACGGGTTCACACCTGGGCGTTTTACAGCGCTGATCGATGCGCAGTAAAACGCCCAGCAAGTGAAATCCCATTGTTTCCTATGAGCATGGTTCCCACCTGGGCGTATTTCAGCGTGTTGGAACGCGCTGAAAAACGCCCTACGCCCAAAGAAGTACAGGAGCTTCTTTGGGGCGTATTTCCAAGCGTATCAATTAGGATACAGCCGGATAGCCCTCGTAAGCGCGTTTGATGCGCATTTTCGTGGACCGCAAATCGGGGTAAAAACGGCAGTAATGTATTACTGTGCCAAAATTTTAAGCAGGTGAGAAAAACATGCAAAATCTAAATCAAATCAATATTTGGTGCGAATTTCGTACGATCTGCCCATCATGGACAGGCAGATTGTACTTGCGCTCACCGCGGCTTGCCGATGATTGCAATGCTGAGCAGGCATGTGCGCTTGCTCACACTGGCCCGTGCGGCATTCATCTTCCGAGCACGCCACCAACCCGCCAAAAATCTTACGATTTTCAGCAGGTTTTCCAGCGTGCTCGGAAGACGAAAGTCGTGCGGCCTTACAGTAGAAGCGGTCGCACGCTGCCCATACACCTGCCGGTTATCGTTCGATAATCGGCAGGTGTATGGGCACCTTAAAAAGGTGCCCATACACCTTAAGGTGGCCATACACTGTACAACCATCGCAAGACCTTAGTCACGCATCTGGGCGGATCCCGGCATAATTGTCGGGATCCGCTTCAGCGTCCCAGTATACCGCAAGCTACAGCTCGTGGTATACTGAGCCTAGGGTGACGGGAGGATGCTAGTTTGTGTCCTCCCGTTACCCTAAGGAGAACTATGGGGAAAAGCCCTAACTCCATAGTTCTCCTTTTAACACTTTTATTTCTGAAAGCATTCATCCTTTACAGCAGGGGTAGCCAAACTCCAGCCCCCTAGCTGTAGTGAAACTACAAATCCCATCTCTCTCTCCGGAAGTCACGTCTGTGAGAATCTTGCAATGCCTCATGGGATTTGCAGTTCTACCACAGCTGGAGGGCCGCAGTTTGGCTACCCCTGCTTTACAGCATTATTTCACACCTGCCTAAAACTTTTGCACAGTACATATAATATAGACATACATATATTTTATTTTTAAATATAATAAAAACAATAACAAAAATACAGGTTTTAACTCTCCCCTACTCTTTACAAAACAGGAAAACAGATATTTTAAACAGACTAATGCCCTCCTAACCTTTGCATTTAGTCCCCTTATTTTCCAAGTGTTACATCTCAAGGTCATAGATGATACATGGTAGGACATGATAATAGATGGTAGCATGATCACTGAATGGTTTTACCTTTCAAGAGGTAAACAAACAATCCAAACAAAACACAAAGTTAAATTACAGACCATAAATAGCAAAACAGCCCTCCTTCCTGGCTCTTTGGCCTCAATTTGAGGAAGTGTGAACCTGCAATGACCTGCCAATCTGAAATGTAACAAACTAGGCTGTGCATGCCCATGTTGATTTGGAGATAAGTCCCCTTAAGTGTATCAGGATTCAAGTCATAGAAGACAGAACTAGCAATATTATACTCTTTGTTCCCATTAGCTGGAAAAGGCATCCAGGCAGGGAAGTGGTCAAGGATTCTGCACAAGGGTGCAAAGTAAAGAAAAAATTGTGATGGGGACATACAAACCATGCAATGTACATTACACAAATTGGACCACAAAGCTATATACAATGTACATTAAACTTAAAGGAGAACTATGGGGTTAAGGCTTTTCCCCATAGTTCTCCTTAGGGTAACGGGAGGACACAAACTAGCATCCTCCCGTCACCCTAGGCACAGTATACCGCGAACTGCAGCTCGCGGTATACTGAGACGCCGCAGCTGCGTGATGTCTGGATCCGCTCAGCTGCGTGACTGACCTATCTAGAGGCAGAGCCAGCTGTACCCGCCCCCTCCCCCGTCCGTTCCGCCAGTCAGCGCTGGCGGATCGGAGCAGGGAGGGTGAAATCCAGCCCCTCCCCTGTCACGGCAGAGAGCCGTGACAGGATCGAGAGGTGAGCGAACGCCGGTATGTGTTCGCTCACCTCCCGATCTACTAAGCCGACCTGTGACAGTCTCATTGTCACAGGTCGGCTAGAACTATGAGGTGGAGTGAAAAGCACTCACCTCATAGTTCTCCTTTAATGGACCTTTGAAGGTTACGCATTGTTCTTTACATTATAATACTTTCTACCACTGCACACTATAAAGTGTACTGTTCTGAGCTTCAGCTTTGCAACTAGAAAGGGGGCACTAAGAAGGAAGAAACCTTGGCCCCTTACTGGGCATATCGCTCTGCAAAACAAGCTACATTAGCTTAGTGTTCTAGGAAGGTAGGATGTCTCTCCCAGTTCTACTGGCCAAAAATTAATCCTGCAGGCATATTTTAACACCAGATTACCAAGTCACAAAAGAATTATGATAAGGCATTGGAGGTAGCAGCATACAGTATACCACAAAGACATAGCGGCTGCTTGAAAAAAAAAAAAAAGTTCCAAAATCTGAGCACATATACATGTTTACATAAATGTTGGATAAAGAAGGGTATTTCCGGTCTATCGGGCCATTGGGGAGATTTTCATCCCACTATTTAATGCGACACCCATAGTGGAAAGGACAGCAATATAAACGCTGTGAGACTTTCTAGTAATAAAAAGTTCAAAGAAAAGTCCAATTTGGGGGTCTGGGTATTGAAGGCTGGTGTGCGGCTCCAGCTTAAACCAAACCAACGTGTCTGGTTTGTATCCTGGAAAAACAAAGAGAACCGGAGCGCCACAAACTAGCGCAATAAGGTAGATTTTTTTTAAAGGGCAACACAATATTCACTGATATGCACTCACATGTGGCGGGGTTTGAATGAAGCTCAGCAATGTGACCATGAGGAGTGGCGTAGTGTCAGGTGGGTCTTCCAGTGGCTGTGAGGTACTAAGCTTGGTCTGCCAGGTGGGGGAAGAAGGACCCAGTACCAAATTGACAGGGGAAAACCAAAAAATAGAGCAGACAATGTGTGTAACTCGATGATGCAATGGAAGAATAAAAACATGCACACTCACCCTCACAGCTGATGATGTTAATCTTGGCTTCTCCTCAGTGTTCACGAAGGGTGGAAGGAGTCCTGCAGGATGTTTTGTGATCCCGTTAAGAAGGGGGATCAGTTTGTCCTGAGAGGATCTAAGCTTTCGCTTGCGGCCCGGGTGGATCTATTGGCGACTACGGTGGGGCCCGATTCACTTTGGATGGGTTGTTCTGAGAAGTCTAGGATGATCTCGTGGGAGCCAACATTGAATGGGCTTTGTGAATGAGCTGATGTGGGAAGTTTAATATTGATCTGGTATAAGTACAGCTGGAGATGGGTCAGGTGCTGTTGAATGCTGGTATGGCAAAGGGGTGGTGGCAGCTCTGCTGTGACAATGTAGCGTTGTGTGCTGCTGGAGGGGCAAGAGGGCGGGGGGAAAAGATGCTGTAGAGAGGGATCTAGCAGGAGGAGGAGGGTGAGACACACAGTGCTGCAGTGTGCGCAGTACGGAAGGGGAGAGATCAGCTGGAGAAGGAGAGTGAGGCAATGTGCAGCAGTGTGAGCAGCTGTGCAGGCGGGGAGATGCCGGGGAGAGAGGTTATCTGGAGATGGAGTTAGGCAAGGTGCAGCGGTGTGTGCGCTACTGTA